TATTATCATTATAAAAATAGTTAAGATGCTGAAAATGACAATATTAATTAGCATAATAATTATTATAAATGCAATAATGACGAAATAATTATGATTCAGTCCATTTATAATAAAATAAAGGCCAGAAGTAATAAAATCTCAAAGTCGAAAAAATCTAGCGTATTACAGCCATTTGAGAGAAACGTCGAAAAAAGCCTTTTTCGGTTTTTAATTGTAATTATGAGGATTTTAACATTAATTCAGGTATTTATGATTATTTTCATGATAATTCCTATATTATTGACAATAATGAGGATAATTATGATGATAGTGACAATGATAATGACAATATAATGATAAAATCCTAATTATAATGATAATTTTGATTATTACTGCAATAATAGCAATAATGAACTCTCTTCCAATAATTTTCATACTAATAATGGGAATGGAAATAATAATAACATCATTATCATTGTCATTATAATTATTATTATTGTCATTATTATTTAAAATTATCATTATTGCTATTATCATTATATAAATAGTTATCATGATAAAAATAGCAATAATGATTATCATAATAATTATTGTAACTGCAATAATGATGATATTAATAATAATAAGCATGATAATGACTATAATGATAATAATCATGAAATAATGACTAATGATAATAATATAATTATTATTCAGTCCATTTATAATGAAATAAAGGCCAGAAGTAATAATATAACAAAAGTCGAAAAAACGGCAAAATCTAGCGTATTACAGCCTTTTGAGAGAAACGTCGAAAAAAACCCTTTTCGCTTTTTTAATGGTAATTATGAGGATTTTAACATTAAGTCAGGTAATTATGATGATAACACCTTTATTATTGACAATAATGATGATAATTGTGATGATAATGACAATGATAATGACAATAATAATGATAAAATCATAATTATAATGATAATTTTGATAATTACTGCAATAATAGCAATAATTAACTCTATTCCAATAATTTTCATACTAATAATGGCAATAGAAATAATAATATCATTATCATTTATTACAATTGTTATCATATCAATATCTTAATCACTTTTATTGTCATTATCATTATAATTTTTACTAAAATTATGATTATGACAATAATAATTATTATTATATTATTATTATATTATATATATCATTATTATATTATATATATATTATTATTATATTATTATATTATTATTATGATAATAATAATAATAATAATAATAATAATAATAATAATAATTATTATTATTATTATTATTATTATTACTATTACACTGTTAATATCATCAGTGTCATCGTTATCCGTGTCATTATTGTCATTATGATTACTATTTTCGTTTCCAGAAATATCATTATCATTATTATAATCACTGACATCATTTTCGGTGCCATCGGTATCTTGATCATCATCATTACTGTTGATATTGCTATTTTTAAAATCGTTATCATTGTCATGATCAACATTAATATTATTGCTATTATTACTATTGTAATTATGGATATTATTTACATAATGATATTTTCTAAATATAAAAT